CCCACACAACACTCACATGAACACAAAATGAATAGAATATAATTTTAAAACTTTGGTAGCAGAGCTGTCAGTTGCAAGGCAGACTTGGAAATGTAAACTCGATTCTGGCCAACTGTGCAGATAGGTAAATGCCATGTCTGTGGAAGGAGCAGTTGCCACAGTGGTGAAGTTATCACCTGCTGTCATAGACCTCCACATATAAGGAAATGGGTCATAAATGGAACAAAATCCGTATTCTTTGTCAAAAGGGAGGGATCCTTGCTGGTGGAATAACACACTGGGCTCTTAGTCCTGGCATTAATATTTGTCTATGGCAATTCTACGGCTCAGGGTGCCGGGGTTCTGGGAGATGTGTAACTTCCTGTGTAAGAATTAGCATCAAGGAGAGCTTCCGGGGCAGGGTGACAGTCAGCCAGTGACCAGAGAAAGGGGGCTAACCTGAGGCCCTGATACCCCTGGAGATCTGAAAGACCTGGAGGGAAAAGCCCAGTGGAGAAAAGATATTTGAGAAAGAGACACTTAGATACATGGAGAGGAATGCGTAGAGCCGGCCCTGGGGTGATGGATGGAGCTGACCTTGAGGACTGCATATGAAACTGTGTCATCTGTGTCTGTGTTTGCTCGTTTCCCGGTGGGGTGTGGTTCCCCTGTCTGCTGGTTCACTACCAAAGCACCACACACAAGTTGTCTTTGTGTGCTGGAGACGATCACCCTGCTTCCATTGCAGGCCTAAAGGACTTTTGTTTTGGAAAATCTGAAGGGAGAGATTCAGATCTGTGGGTGAGCAGGACTGTTGCCTGGAAGAGCAAAAGGAGAAGGGAGAAGGGTAGCCTGGCTTTCCTGCTGCGAAGGGTAGATGTAGCATGCCCTGCCCTCCCCTCCCCTTCCCTCCCCTCTCCGTGTTGAACGCTGGCTGCTTGGCTGAGAAGTCAACCCAAGGCCTCAGCCTCCAGTGGGCCTATAAGAAGTGGGACCACGCTGGGCAGATGGCTCTGTGTAAGAGCCCCTGCTGCTCACAACTGCCTGTAACTCCAGTTCCTCAGGATAGCATGAGTAATAAAAACCCAGAGCCAGACAGTGGGGCCCAAGCTTCAAGCTGAAGATTAGAATAACAAAGTATCCAGCCATAGCTCTCACCTCTACCTCAGACCAAAATGGGTGATCCTGTCTCCACGAATCTTCAGAATACAATCCTCAGAGGCAGCATGTAGACTGCACCACTCTCCACCAGGCCTCAGACTGCAATCCCAGACTGCTCCCAACTTCACTGCTCCTCAGATTCACTCAGACTGCTATGCTCTCCTCAATGTGGCTAGAGACTAATTGCCTAAGAGTGACTTTGCTTCTTCCTTATATACTTCTCTATTGCTGGGATTAAAGGCATGTCATCCCAAGTGCTGAGATCACCTTTGTGGGAGCTCTGTTTCTCTTTTAGACTGGATCAATTTTATGTTGCTCAGTGTGGCTTTGAACTAACAGAGATCTATCTCTATCTCCCAAGTCCTGGGATTAAAGGTGTGTGCCACCACTGCCTGGCCTCTATGATGTGTGGCTAGCTTTGCATTCTGAACCCTCAGGCCAGCTTTATTAAATCATAAATAATAGATCACCACACCTCAGGCTCCAACCGACGCCCTCTTCTGGCTCCCATGGGCACTGCATGCACATGGTGCACATACATGCATGCAGACAAAAACTCATACACATACAAGCATGCAAACACTCATACACATAAAATTTAAGAAAGAAAGAGTAGGGTGGTGGTGGCACATGCCTTTAATCCCAGCACCCAGGAGGCAGGTAGATCTCTGTGAGTTCAAGACCAGCCTAGTCTACAAGAGCTAGTTCCAGGACAGGCTCCAAAGCCACAGAGAAAAAGAAAAATAATAAAAAAGGAAGGAAAGGAAAGGAAGGAAGGAAGGAAGGAAGGAAGGTAGGAAGGAAGGAAGGAAGGAAGGGAGAGAGAGAGCAAGAAAGAAAGAAAGAAAGGAAGGAAGGAAGGAAGGAAGAAAAAAGAAAGAAAGAAAGAAAGAAAGAAAGAGAAAGAAAGAAAGAAAGAAGGACACTGCTGCTTCTCTGCTGGTGCTAACAGTTACTCTCCAGGAAAGCCCACTGCTGTGGCACGAGGAGACTAAGGCAGCCCTTAATCCAGAAAAGGAGAGCCAAGGTCCCTGGCCTCAAACTCCCAGAGACTAAAGGCATGCATCACCACCACAGCCTGGCCTAGATGGATACTTTTTAAAATGCAGTCTTAGGTCAGGCATAATGGCACATGCCTTTAATCCCAGCACTTTGGAGGCAGGAGGATTTCGGTGCATTTAAGGCTAGCCTAATCTATATAGTGAGCTCCAGGACACCAGGACTATTTAGTGAGAACCTGTCTCAAAAATAAATAAGATGCACTTAGACCATCCTTAATAGCACACACCTTTAACTCTGGCATTCAGGAAGCAGAGGCAGGCAGATCTCTGTGAGCTCCAAGTCAGCATGGTCTACATAGGGATCTGATGCCCTCCTCTTAACAGCATGCATACAACACACAAACACCCACACACACACACACACACAC